CCAATTTTCTACCTAAACATTGGTAAATTCAGATAATATGGCCTCAAAGTAGAAATTTCATAATATTCTGTTATTGCTAACTAAGAGGTAGACTTACTCTCCCAATGGAATAATGTAATTCACATATATGCCTATAGAAGAAGAAAAGAAGAAAGCAGGAAAAGTTTTGTTCTCTTTTATTCTGTTTCAAGGTATTTTGTCACCACATTATCTTACTACTAGATTGAAATATTATTCCTTAACAAAGTGAGAAACTAAACTTAAGCAAGTAGCTACAACTAGAATGCGAGTGTTAAAACCATACACACCCATGTAGCACTGGGAAGACACTTCAAGTTATCATTAATTCATAATAATTTGTCAATATTCAACTTTGCATTTGCCTGTTATCTTGCCACTATGGTTTCCCACCTAGATCACTGGAGAGCATCTGGTCTCAGGTCTCTTACACAACAGTATATATGGTGGGCACAACTCCAGAGGGAGTCCTTCACAACACCTATGCCTCACCATTCAGGGACTCAACTAGAGTATCCTAAAAGTTCCACAAAACAAAGGAAAGTAACAGAAAGAACTAGAAGGCAGTTCCTTAATCAAAGGAAAGGCTTTATGCTTACTTTTTACAGCAATTTGTCATGAACACACAAACCAGTCTTTTTTAGTTCACATACCTCATCCTTCAGCTGACTTCTATTAGTTTCATGGTGCTGATACTCCGTTCTACACTTTAAAAGTTTACGATCAGCAACAGATATTCTTTTCTCATATTCTGTGTTATTCCCAATCTCATTTTCCAAAAACTTGATCTTTTCCTTAATCAAATTTTCCTTTTCTCTTGTTTCTTGTTTTGTCTTTGCTAATGCCTGGAATTAAAACAAATATGTTTACCTAAATATATGTTTACTATGACAAAATTAAACTTAAAAGAAATTTAGTTTTTGTTTTTCTATTATATTCAGTATTTATTTTACCAAAATTTCTTAAAAGAACACTTTTTAAAAGGGAGACTTTTAATATTAATAAAAACATTAATATGCTACACACCAATATCTATAAACTCATAGTGCTAAAGGTCCCAATATTTTCTTTCATCTATATGGAACTTTGCTAAAAAAATAAGAAAAAGAGTTAAGCTTTTTATACATGAAGGGTAACAGAATATTTTTAATTTAAACATTAATTCTTTCAATATTTAAAAGAATATTTTGCACATAGAAAGTTGAGTTTCGATAAAACTTTCCAAATACTTTACAGACCAGTTTTTCCATTTTCTAAAAATAACATTTTAGTTACTGGTTTCAATAGGAATATGTTCACTCAGGCCTTTTGCTGGTCTTAGAGATACAATAATAAATAGAATACACAAAGTACTGTAACTGAAATGCGGACAAAGTACTATGGGAACAAAGAGATGATGAATTCTACCCAAGAGGAGTCATTAGAAGACATTAGCCATTCCTGGCTTTCCAGGGGAGGAGAAAAGAGAAGACATTACCCAAGAGGCTTCATTTGAGTCGGGGCTAGAAACATGAATGGAGATGCATAAACACTCTACTGTGGTTAAAGTGTAGGTAGGGTAGAAGGGCAGGAATAAGAACAGAATATATTAAGAAGGGATGGGGTTCAGATGAAAGGGATGAGGTTGGAAAGGTATGGTTCAGGGCCAAACTGAGAAGAAATTCAAAGGACATGTCAAAGAGGGTCAACTATTTATTTTTATAAGTGGGGTCTCACTATGTTGCCCAGGCTGGTCTTGAAATCCTGCCCTCAAGCAAACCTCCGATCTCAGTCTCCCAAGTCACTGGGAATATTGGTGTGAACCACCATGCCCAGGGAGGGTCAATTTTTAAGCAATGTAAAACAAAGAAGATTTTAAAGCTGGGGAATAAAAAGATCAGATGTGGTTTTTACAAGTGATTCTGATGACAATAGTTTGGATTAATTAGAAGGAAAAATTACCCTAAAAATGTGTTACTTTCAAGCATTCCAAAATGAGGTTCTACCAAACAATTAATCACAGGAGATTAGGGGAAGGGGTTGTATTCTGAAATCAATAACTTTGAGAAACACTGCATGTAATATTATACATATTAGCATGTTAAATGGATATATATCTAAGATGTACTTTTAAAAGGAAATTTTAAATTTGTTTAATCCAGTATTCCTATGTTTTCTTTAATAACAATTAACATTGCTCATTAACATTAACAATTAACATCTATAATTGTAGCACTCTATATATTAATATTTACTGTGCTCATTCAACAAAAAGATATGTCAAAATTTCCTAAATTTAAATATTTCAAATGATCATTCTAGAATTTCTTGCCTTATACTGATTTTTCTGCTACTTAGTCAGATGCTTTAATACTTACTTTGACATCATACTTCCTACCAATGTTATTCATGGTTTCCATGTTGGTAATGCTTATAAGTAATATCCCAAAATTTCTATACTGAAATAAAAGAATAGTAGAAAAACATTTTCCTTTTCTAAATATTTTTTCTTTTAAGAAGACAATTTCAGGATTGTATGGCCAGACTCCTAATGAGAAGGCACTGAGAAGGCAGGAATTGTTTTGCAGGAAGAGGAACAAAAAAGTACAATCTTAGTTGTAGGGGATCAAAATATGCCACCCTAAAATATGCTACTTCAGCATATTGATCATTTTGAGTTAAAGACACTTGAAAAATAGCAGATGCAAGGTGAGTACTCTGCCCTTCCTTTTTTTTCCTGAAAGAAGGAGATAAAACTCCTTTCTGAAAGGTGCCCTCTCTGTGCCAGGAAGAAGAGAGACACTCTCATCACCAGAAACAGGAAGTTGAGAATGGGAGAAACCTGTACAAACCACCTTGTTAAACCAACTCTTATCTTCCTAGTTACTTTTCCACAGTTGCCACTCTTTGTTCAACCTAGTATATAAGCACCTAGTTCCAGCTACTTCTTTAGGTCTTCATTTTTCCTCCGAGGGCCTCCATGTACATGTAAATAAAATGTGTATGCTTTTCTTCTGTTAATCTGTCTTATGCCAGTCCCAGCTAGAAACCCTAAGAGAATAGAGAAAAAATTTACCTCCCTTACAGTCTAAATGCTCTAGTGATGTGAACCAGCTCTCACCGACTCACAAGAACTAATCTACAAATCTTTTCTCAACTCTAGGTTCAGTGGAGTCATGCTAGTATGGAAGTACTTACACCATAGAAATCAGAAACACTATATATCAGGGGTTTCTTTTTATTTGTTCTGGTTTGTTTTGTTTTCAGAGAAGAGCTGTTGAACATTAAGAAGCATCCTACTGCCTAATGGAACCACCTCTTAGTACCCTGCCTAGTCTCTTACAGTACAGTCAGGAGATGTCAACCTGTAAATGAGGAACCACTGTGAATATAACTAGGAAGCTGTTAGTTGTATATTCTGCCAAATCAACAGACAGAGTCAACTCAGCCATGGGGTTGTATGAGAATACTTATTGTAGATCTCTAATGTTGGATCTGGCACGTTAGATTTACATAGATGATACAATTATGACTTGATATTTGAAGGCAATAAGAAGTTTGAAAATAGATACTAATATCACCATTAAGAATAAAGTTTAAAGAGACAAGATGGCTGACCAGAGACACCAGCTGCCAAATCATCTCAGAAAGAAGGAAAAGTTTCAGATGAAAAAGAAAAAACAAAGCAAACAATCATAGATCAGGTGTAATTCTGAGGGAAAAGTGCCAGAACCTCTAAGAGATTCCACGGGAAAAAGTTGTGGAGCAGAACAAGAAGGAGCAAGATATCAACAGAGGTCAACCCCCAAGACCCAAAAAGAGTAGGTGGAGTGACTTGTTTCTGCCGTACATCTCTGGCAGTCAACAGACTCCCAAGCTGCTGAAGAGTCTTTCTAACCTCATGAGCTCAAAAGCTGCTACCGCCAGTGAACTGGGAGCTTCTTGAAGATAAAGCACCAGGTTGCCAGCCACCTTGGGGTCGTTTCCCGTCACCAGAGACCCAAGCCAATACAGCAGGTGCCATATTGCTTCTCCACCCACCATGTGCCTTTCTCCTCCCCAGGGGGCTTCAGCCCCTCAGTTTTCATCTTGCTCTATCCCAGACAAACATTTCTCAACTCTGGCCCAGACTGTGGGAGCCACAGGGGATCAGTAGGTCCCGGGGAATCTGCGTGACCCTAGAGCCTGGACATTCTGAGAGAGCTGCCTTCCAGAGAGAGGGACAGAGACAACCAGAGTAGTAATTTCCTCCATCCAGATGCTTTGCCTCCCATTCCTCTCCATCACCCATGCCTGCCAAGAGACATGCTTGAGCCACTGCTTTCCTTCTGTTGGGACTTTCATGGAGAGTGGAGCTCAAACATTTCCTCTCAAAGACCTGAAGAAGACTGAGGAGTGCTTGGACTGTGAGCTCCCAGCACACCAGCCCTCCCCAGTGCTGCTTGCCTGACTACTCCATCAGAGCAGGGCACATCCTGAAGCAGAAGGACATCAAACCTGCTTGAGCCACCCCATGGCAACTTAGGACCAGCACGCCTCTCCCTGGCATGGTCAGGGATTGAACTTCAGGGATTAGGACAGACCACAGGCCAGATCTTGTAGCCCCAGGACTCAATTATGTTGCTCGGGAGCATGAAGGGGAGATTTCTGAAATAATCTTGGAGGGCAAGGGAGCCCACATGGACAGAACTGAAGCTTGGGAGTGGACCTTTGACCTCTGCTGAAACGGCTACTGTACCAGCTTTTGTGGAGACTGAGGGCAAGCTCACTCAACCCAGCCCTGACCAGTCTCAGTTTCCCACCCACCTCTGCTGTGGTGGAGAATAAGAACTCACCTGGAAGCTATAGGGCCCCATCCTCCACTTGGGGCATTTGAATGCTTCTCCTGAGGGGCTAGCGCCAGTCATAGGTCCCCAAAACAATACTGCACATTGTTCCTTCTGGCAAGCACCACCTACTGACAGGGGGCTAAATTTGCACAGCCCTTTATATAATTTACTGACTCAATCATACAGGGTATGGTTGATTATTACACACAAGTACCACCTACTGTCTCAGAGATTAAACTGGGCATGCCAATACAATTCACACTATTAAGAAGACCACAGGGCCGGTGAAAGAGAAAGGATTTCAAAGACTTCCATCCTCCCTCACCAAACAGTGACAGGTAATCTATTCACACACGTAGCTCACCACTGCTACAACCTACAAACAACCAGCAACTGAGAAAACCACCACACTAAGTATATATATATATAACCAAGGCATCCATACAGAACTTAGACCACAGTAAAAGAACTCACAAGCAAAGCCAAAGGTTCTGCCAAACATATGCTACAGACACTCCCTGAAGAGTGAGGAGGGAAGGAAAAAAAAAGCCCCATCTCGACAAAAGAAAATCGAAAAAATAAGAAGTGACAGCTGTCACAGAAGAGAAGGAATCATCAAAAGAACTCCAGAAGTATGAAAAATCAGAGCAAAAGGACACCCCCAAAAGGGAACACCAGTTCTCTAGCAATGGATACCAACCAAAAGGAAAATATTAAAATGACAGAATTCCAAATATGGATTGTAAGGAAGCTCAATGAAACCCAAAAGAAAACAGAAAACCAATTCAAAAAAAAAAACCAGAAAAACAATTCAGGAAATGAAAGAAAAATTCACAGAAGAGATCGACATATTTAAAAAAACAAAACAAAACAAAACAGAACTTCTGGAAATGAAACACTCATTTCAGAAAATACAAAACATAGTAGAAAGTTATAATAGACTAGACCAGGCAGAATAAAGAATCTCAGAGCTTCAAGATAACACTTTCAAATTAACTCAGTCAATAAAAATAAAGAAAAGAGAATTAAGAGGAATG